CTTGAATGTGCTAAATTGAAATTAATGATAGCAATTGTATAGCCAAAGTTTTGTTATTTGTTTGATGTCCATTTATGCAAATTGACTCTTCAAACAAATATTCTTCAAGAAGGTAAAAAGAAATAACTTTATTTTTAATATTGACCGATTTTGTGATATTTCTTTCTCCAGCATGTATGTTTACTTTATTATATATGTAAGTAAACTTTTATTTGGTTTTGTAAACTCTTTTTTGTTATTTAGATAAACATAGACGTGTACTCTATATATTACATTTATTTTAAAAGAATTTCATTTTATTCAAATCTAGCTTCAATGTTTCAAAGAACTATACTTATAGGATTTTAAATGTGAAAGAGTTTTATAGTTATATGGAGTAGTTTTTTTTATTGTTAGAGGCGAAGTAGTATTTAAATAATTACAAAAAATAACAAAAGTTCCTAACATGATTGCATATGATCATTAACCGAATTAAGTATGATAACATGATGAAAAAAGATAAATTTTATTTTTAATTTAAATATATATATATATATATATATATATATATATATATATATATAATGTCAATTAACTAAAATAGTCAAATATAGAATAAAGTTACCATATACTTGGCTTAACCATAATGTCAATTATATATGGTAACTTTCATGCTTTAATATATATATATATATAGATATCCACTAATTTTACTCATTAAAACATAGGAAAAAAGAAAAATTTAAACCAGATTCTAAAATTGTACTTTCACTACTTTGACTGCTGGGTCCACAATTCCCTCCTATATAAGCCGAAACACCTAACTCAATACGCCCCTCCCTATTGACCACTGCCTCTCTCTCTCTCTCTCTCTCAAAAAGTTTCCCTCATAGCCATGTCTGACGTTGAGTCCACCACAGCAGCGGAGAACCCTATCCTCCGCCGCCGCAATTCCGTTATACTTCCTAAAAAGCTCACCTTACAGCATCAAACATCAGCTTCAACCACCATCACTACCACCGCCACGTCATCTTCGTCGGCTTCGTCATCGTTGACGAACTCGGCGAGCGATGATTTTGAGCTGTTCTCTATTAAGCCTGTATCCTACACTTCTCTGAGGGATATCCTGCCACCTTCCGCCGTCAATTCTCCCAGGCCTATGACTTCGCCTCACCAAGCCCAATCCGGTTCCGAGATTTCAATCCGGAATCGTCTCGTTAAGCAAGCCGCTTGGGCTTATCTCCAGCCGATGTCGACTTCACAGGATTCCTCCGGCCGGAGCTTATTCGGCCGCCTCTTCTTCTTCCCTGTCAATAATCCTGTCGCCGGAATTCTTGACTGCATTGATCGGTACATTTTTGCTCCCTTGACTAAAGCTGTTGATTGGCTTCTTCGTGCTGTTCGGGTTCGGAGCTCCAGATAACGACAAAAACAACGGGTTGTTAGGGTGACCCGACCCGATATACAGTATATATTCTTCCGTTTTGGATTTGTCACCTTCTAGTTTGAAAATTGGGGTCATAAATGTACAACGCCTTTCATTTTCTCATGTAATTCCAGAAAAACCGAAAAAAAAATACAAAACAAATGGAGCAGGAAAAACGTTCAATAAAAAATATTTAAAATCTGAGTTTACTTTTTATTTTTATTTTGTTGGCTTATTTACAATGTACAATTTTCTTACTACTATTTCTGGTAAACTATCTGTTGACTAACTGCGCCTATATTTGGGCCGGGCAGCATGGTCCGAACCGGATTCAAAATAGTCTGTGTCTAGGAATGAAAGATCCTCCGGGTGCACTTGGACCGTTTCCGGTTTAGAAGGAAGAAAAGTTGACCGGTGAGCGTAGTAAGACCGCGGCGATTGAGGTGGCTGCCTCCGTGGCGATGGTGGTGGCTGCCTCCTGTCTGACGGCGGCTTGTTCCTCCTGAATAAACTGAAGGATGATGATGACGGTGGTGCTGGTGGGGCCGAAGGAGGTGGCGCTCCGCGAGAATGGTCAGTCCCATTTCTTTGCTGCGAGAATTGATCAACAAAATTAAAAATTATGATTTTCTATATACATACAAGTTTAAAATATCAAAAAGAAGTAACAAGGAAATTGATGATGGTGATAGTGGGAAATAAAGTGGTAATTAAATAAATGGTGAGTAATAATTCGGTGATTAATGTGTTTCTATTCATTGATTTGTATGATTGTTTGTCTTGGTGTTGATTGATGCGAAAAAGTGGTGAGCGAATAAACCAGAATACCTAGAGAATTAAAAAAGGTTTTCTATTGAAAGAGTGTAATATTCGTTTGGGGCATTTTGGTTATTTGGTGAATAGAGAATATGTCACGATATATGAAACGTGTAAGATTATCTCTCAATATTAATAAGTCTATAAATCGGATTTTTATTCAAAACGATGGTTCCTAGTAATTTAATCTGAAGATACGTTCGGAAATAAGCGATTAAGTTTTGAAGTCTTTGTATTTTAGTTTTACAATCAACCTAGAGTTTTGTTGTCACATACATCATGTTTCGTTTTATTTCACATTTTAAATCAATGTGTCAATCCGTAGTTTTTACGCGTTTGAACAAATGCTTTCACTTTATAATTTTGATTAGTTATGACTTTTAGCGCTTGAAACTCAAGAATTAATTCTAGAAAATCTCTTACTGTTCAGTTTGATACTATGAATTTATAATTCGCTTAAAAATTCATATTTATCAACATCTAATTTAAAATATTAAAACTTAGTCGACCCTAGTCAGTAGTGACTAACCATATTACCCAAAACGCATTTGGTTGTATCACGCCTTTGTGAAGATCATGAATTATCACTACTGGGATCAATGAAAGTCTCTGACAAAATGTAGCTAGGTCATTCCTATTATTCAATAGGAGTAATAATAATAAAGAAAACTTGCTCAGCGCTTTACCGCGCCGGTGAAATTATCATTCAATCATTTGATCAATCTTTTATAAGCCTCACTTGTTCATGCCCCTTCTAGCTACTTATTTCTCCACGCCTCCACATGTGCTCTTTGTTATTTATTTACTTATTACTTTTCTTCCTTTTTGCTCTTATCATTCTCGTTACTCTTTTTTACCTGCCTCATTCTTACGAACATTCTATCATTTCCAGACCCTACTGGTGAAATTTTACTGAGTTGTTGTTGTTGTCGTCATTCCTACGATTTTCACGCAATTCATACCTCCTATGGTTCAAGTGCAGTGCAAGCCGGGACGGATCTAACCTTAAGCCTATGGGTTCCCGTGAATTCAATAGTTTTGCCCAAATTCTATATTTATATTAAGAAGTTCATTAAATATTTATTTGGCTGTAAGCCCTATTATTATTGTATAAAGAATTCATAAACTTTAAATCTTGGATTGCCCATACACTCGTTCCTAGGGATGTAGATTTCAAGAATGGGTTAAAACGAACTCATTTAGTGACATGGTAATAATAATACCAAAAATTGATTATACCAATGAAGATGATTATGAGAATCCAAAATGATTAATAGGAAGATCAAATTTGGTAGTATCAGCATGGGCAAGAATTCTTGCTTCATGGAGATGAGATGAACAGAATATATCTTGTCTGAGGAAGCAGACGTGATATACGAGGGAAGTCAAAAAGTATGGAGGAGCTAAGTTAGTCCACTTTGAAACATCGTGGCCGAAGATTCAAAAAGAAGTTGGACCGGCCGAATATGATCTCATGGGCTGGCCAGGGTAATATTCTGAATTCTGATCCACAATAAGACCTAGCAAATGGACTTCTTAGTCTCCAGTACGGATTTGTTCACTGGCTTCTTTACTCTTATCTCAAATTATTTTCGATTTTTCTATTGGTGCTATTCTCGCCCTTGGGACGGAATATTAAAGAAAATACTTATTCCACATAGTGTTTGCACCAAATAAAGCAAGATTAAACCTTAGAAACTATAAACTAAATTGAGAATACATATAAATGTATGTATAAAAGATGAACGACTTGCATCTATTGGTTTTGTTAAAATACTTAGGGATAGTTTGGTTGGATGCATTAGATAAAATAATGCATGCATTAGCTTTGTGTATTAATAATACCTTGTTCGATACACTTTTTGAACATATGCATTAGTTATGCAAGCATTAGTTATATACCATATTTGGTATTATCCTAAGCATAACTAATGCATAGAAAACCATGGTATTAGCTATGCAATGGGTTTTAATGCGTGCATTAGCTTAGTTAACGACAAAATTATCCTTCAAAATTTATGCTTGATAAAATATGCTATTATATTAATGCAAGTTTAAAATAATCCAAATAGTGAGAAATAAAATTATATCCCTAGTAAATAAATAAATACTTAGCATATTTTCTTTTTTAAAGAAATATTCAGTTCTATACTACAATATAGGTAGATAAATCAAATAATTTTTTTAAAACTTTTTCATATAAAAACATTCCTAACATATGTTTTTTCTAAAAAGATAGAGTGATGGACTGGTTTTGAGGGCATTTTTGTAAACAAACAATTCTTTTAGAAATTGTGCAATGCTTTAATACATCAAACCAAACAATGGATAAGAAATATGTCAACATAACTAATGCAAGCATAACTAAAGCAAGCACAACTAATACCACCATTACTAATACACTGTATTCCGCATTCTTATGCACCCTACCAAACGAGCCCTAAGTGTGAATACGCATTTTATGGATGTTATTGCCTTCTCTTTTTACTTTCTTAATCCTTTATATAGTATCTCATAATCTACATTTTGAGTTAATGAAAATGGTCCACTTGAAGGGCTTTTAAAAAACTAATCTACTGTCAAAAAATTCACCAGATTAAGAAAATATGATCATCAAGCATTTAAATGGTTAGATGGAAGTACCTCGGAGCTGAGATGTGAAGTTCTTCTAGAGGGAGCAGCTATAAAATCAAGCAATTGAAAGAATTTTGCTTGGCCCAATTCAGTGCAATTGTGCCAGTAGTAAATAGCCAAGTCAAATGCCCTGGCTCTGAACTCTAGAAAACCCCTGTCAATCTCTGGTTCATGCTTTGACACAAATGGCTTCAACAAGGCATCATATATGTATCCTGTACCCTTTGTTTTTGGATACCATAAGTAGATGATAAGTGCCAACTTTGCCTCACTGTACATTGGTAGCCTGAAATGACAACATAAATAAATGATTGTGTGTGACTTTGATCATGTATCAGATGGAAGGTCTAAAGAGTTCATACCATGCCATGAATACATCACCAAAGCTCTCAATAATTCTCAACACCGCAACAATGATCCTGATAAAAGACACAATTTGCTACTAATCAAGCTTTAATTGGAGATCATCAAGTCCCACTAAGTCAATTGAACAAGTAGATGACCAAACAGTTCACCTATAACCTTATTCAAATAGATGGATAGTGACCTATCAAAATACTAAACAATGCTAAGAATTATAGGAAAAGTTTAGAAAGAAGCAAAACTGTGACTATCCCACCAACCCCAACAAACTCAACCTCTCTAATGTACTACTACATCTTTTGCTATTTTTTCAAGAATGGATCCTGCCATTTAGTTACTAGAATCTCATAATGCTTGTCATTTTCAAAAGGGAAGTTATAAATTGCTAACTACTCTTATCTCAATTATGGACTAGTTAAATATTCTTTTCTTATTATTGGTTGACCTAAAGTTTATCAAAGGAAAATTAATTGATTAGAAGTTTCAATAATTGACATTTTTTATTAGTCTAAAGCCTGAACATGTCAAAAGACTACTCAAAACCAATTATTTCTACAAAACCCTTTTTGCCAACTTTGCTTTCTAAATGGTTCAAACACCCATAACCCCAATTCGCAACAAACCCCCAATTCGTACAAGGAATAAGGTTATTACCAATATTGGCACCAGAATCTGAGTTCTTCAATATCAACTTTGTTCTTCTCAATAGTCTTAAAACATTCAAAAGCAGGGTATGCATATCCAAGAACCAATCTGCAAAAATTTCAAAATGCAAAGTTAAATTCATTCATCCGCAAGTAAGTCAAAAATGCACCAAACCCCACATACACAAACAAAAAGAATAAAGCCAAAAAAGAATCAAAGCAATAGAAAGAAAAAGAAGAAGAAGAAGACAAAAACAGATCACATACACTAAACTGCTAGTGATGAATTCTCCCAACATCTTTCTTCAAAATGCCTAAAAAACAACACAAGCACTCACCCATTAGCAACAAATTCTGAAAAATATCACATAAAAATTGAATCAAAAGAAAACTAACTTGCTGAACTTGAAAAGGAACCTTGGAATGGGAGAGAAAAGAACCAAAAGAACTTGGGATCTATGTAAGAAATGATTCAAAGGGATTTGAAGAACTGCAATGAAATTTCTGAATAAAAAATTGAATGGGTATTAAAAAATGGCATAAATATTATGGAGAAGAAGATAATGGTGCGGAAATTCTGCAAAAGGAAATTAGGAGAATATAGTTACGTTTGTGCAAAGAAAGGATCTCAAATTCTGGGGAAAAAGATATAACTGAGAGAGGGAAAAAAGAAGTAATAATGGGGGGAAACGTGAAAGGAGAGGAAGAAGGGAGAAACAAGTTCGTCGTATGATTATTATAGGAACGTGCAAGCTTCTATATATATATATATACACATATATTTGTGTATGTAGGTGTATATATCTTATCTATTGGGGTGGGTGGGGTAAGGGGGTGGGGTGAGGTTTATGAAGGGTGACAGCGATTTAGATTGGGTAAAACTTAGGAAGAGAAAGGCATTTGACGATTCCTTGAGGGGGACGCCTTGTAGTTCTTTTATTTTTTTTTTTTTTTTTTTTTTGTTGATTCACTTTTTCATTTATTTAATTATTTTACACGTAATTCAGTGAAAGTGGATTTCTTGGGATTCCACGTTCATACGGGTTTAACGGTTGACAGTCTCACGGGGGAAATTTTGATATTTTACAAATGTCTCTTAACTTCTACTAATGGAGAAAAAAACAGAGAAGATAATTTTATTTCCATGAAAAAGTGTACGGGGTGTCAATGTTCGGTTCGGATGGTTATTTTATAAAATTTATACCATATTAATTTTTCCGTTATTCTATTATGTATAACCAAAATTAAACTTTTCGAAACCGTCCCAATTATGTCAGTTTCTCTTCGGTATCGGTACGGTATGGTTAAGTTTCAATATTATTTTAAATGTCATGTAAAAGTCACTGGTAAAAGTAGTATACATACTTTTATAGGACTTAGCAAAACTCTCTAGACAGTTTTACTGTTTAAATGGTGATGAATTAAAAAATATAAAAGATGGCTAGAGTATAGATCCATCCACTTCTCTAGAGCAACGTAAAAGAAACTAGCAAAGATAAAGAAAAGATAAATCACAGGAGTAGAAAGATATTAACCAAGCTGGGACTCAAGAATAAAATCTATAGAAAATTAAATATTCATAAATATAAATCAAACGAAAGGAAAACATATTCAATACATTGTAGTTTGCTACTCATAATCGCTAGAATACTGTGTGTTGTTAGTAAATATGCTGGAAATAATTTATTTTCAGTAGAAGTAATAGGTTTGGGAATTAGGATTTTGATTTTAATTACTTATTGGCTTGTACCCATTTTCATAATTTCATGGCCCAAGGAAAAATTTAATATTTTATTATTTTTAAACTAATAGATAAATATTTTCACATATAAATTTATTCGGTACTGTTCGGTATTTTTTCGACTTATTTTTATAAAATAAAAAACCTACACTAATTATCGGTACGGTTGTAGATTTGTATAAGAATCTACGGTTTTTTTTTAAAAAAAATAAAATAAAAATCGGTTCGGTGCGGTACGGTTCGGTCGGTTTAGTCGCTTATTGGAAGTTTGGAGACAGACTCTTGAGTCTAAGGGTTTCAAGCTAAGCAGAACGAAGACAGAATACCTCGACTGTAAGTTCAGCGCTGAGCCGGGGGAAGTGGACGTCGATGTGAGGCTTGAGTCACAGGTTATCCCAAGTAAAGACAGCTTCAAGTACCTTGGTTCGATTATCCACGGGGGAGGGGAGATCGACGAGGATGTCACACACCGTATTGGGGTAGGATGGATGAAGTGGAGGTTAGCATCTGGAGTCTTGTATGACAAGAGAGTGCCAGCGATACTCAAAGGTAAGTTCTACAAAGCGGTGGTTAGACCGACCATGATGTATGGGGCTGAGTGTTGGCTTGTTAAGAACTCACATATCCAAAAGATGAAAGTAGCAGAGATGAGGAAGTTGAGGTGGATGTGCGGGCACACTAGGATAGATAAGATTAGGAATGATGATATTCGGGAGAAGGTGCACGTGGCTCCCATTGAGGACAAGATGCGGGAAGCGAGTCTCAGATGGTTCGGGCATGTACAAAGGAGAAGCCCAGATGCTCCAGTAAGGAGGTGTGAGCGACTGGTTGTGGAAGGCACGAGAAGAGGTAGAGGGCGGCCTAAGAAGTATTGGAGAGAGGTGATCAGGCAGGATATGGCGAGACTTCAGATTTTCGAGGACAAGGACGTTGTGGAGGTCGAGTATTACGGTTGTAGGCTAGGCGGTAGTTGAGTCTTACGTTACTTTGTACCTTTGTGAGCCTAGTCCGGTAGGGTTTTGTCTAAGAAGAGCTAGGGGCAATGTCGTGTCATTTTATTTTCTTTTTCGACGTTGGATCCATTTACTAACCACCGTTTTTGCTTTGCATTTTTCTTCTGCATTTTATGTTCCTATTTTTCCTATGATCTCCGTGATGAATCTAATATCCTCTCCTTTTGTCTTCTTTTTATTATCTTGAGTCGAAGATCTTTCGGAAACAGCCTCTCTACCCCTTCGGGGTAGGGGTAAGGTCTGCGTACACACTATCCTCCCCAGACCCCACTCGTGAGATTTTACTGGGTTGTTGTTGTTGTTGAAATCCCTAGCGTTTAAGTCAAAACTAATAAAAATATACACGTGTTTTTGTTGAACTTTTATTACTTAACTGTTATTAATAAAAATGTTATCTAACTTCAATTTATCACTTAACTATAATAAATATTAATGTGATTTGGTGTAAATGTTAAGCGTAAATAAACTTTTTCAGGGTTAGAAAACTGGAGTAGAAGAGTAACAAACAGGAAATTAAGAAATGAAGAGAAGTTTCACAGGAAATCAAGAGTATTAGTTGAAAATTCGTGGTTTATGTTCTGGATTCAAGGTTTGTCT